GGCGGCGGCAGCGGCAGCGAGAAGGTCTCATTGCATTTCCTTTGGAAGCAGGTTCGCTCTGCAGACACCTGCGGGGCAAATGTGACAGCCTGGCGCAGCCACCTCACGAACTCCAGCTCCTCAGGTAAAATCTGCACCACTGTCTGCCTCCTGATAACTGCAGTCCTCTAAGCCGTACCTTACCTCAGGAGAAAAAAATTAATGAATTGTTCAGATAACTTGAAATAGTCGCCCGGCCTTCTCCGGGGGAGTGGGCCCGCCCACGCCGTGGATCGCTCCGAAGTCGCCGCCGCCCACCCGCGAGTGCGGCCTGGAGGAGCACGCCGCCCGCGGAGCCCAGGTCGCCTGCACCGCGGGGCTCGGCTCGCCCGCACTCGGCCCGCTGGGGGGCGTGCGGCGACCTGCCCTTTGGCGCAGCTCGGGCCGCAGGGCGGAGCCGAGAAGGAGGCGCGGCAAAGGCTGGAATCCGGCGCGTTTGCTGTCATGAGCTCAGGTGGGACCCCCACGTAGGGAGCCACTGCGTGGATTTTGAGAAAATGAATGTGGTAGAACTGAATTAGCGAGCGTGGAGAAGCACACTGTGCCCGGGTGACACTGACATGACCTTAAGGCACTTGGCACAGCGCCACAGTGGCCCCGTAAACAGGATGAAGAAAGGAGGGTTCGGCGTGCGGACGCGGTGTCTGCGGGGTGAGCCGTGGCCAGAGAGCCCAGGTGGGACGCCCTCTGTGGTGGCTGCGTGCGTGCGGAAGAGAGCAGCTGCGGGACCGGAGCATGCGCAGGCAGGCGGGGCGCGGCCATGGGCCACGGAGGCCTCCCTGCGTCCTGCCTGAGCAGCTGAACATCCTGCTCCAGACCCGAGAGTCCCTTCCCGGGGACAGCAAATCAGCAGCCTGTGAGGTGCATTATTATCGGATAATCTTCATTTTTATCATCCCCAGTCCTTTTCTTGTAATTTTTGCTTTGAAATAAGCTCTTGATAAATCACTAAGATGCCCAGGCTGGCTTCAGACCTGCAGTCCTCCTACCTCAGCCTCCGAGACAATAAGATTACAGTTGTACGCCGCCACGCCTGGTTCTGAGACATCTTCAGTGTAGTATGTTGGCCACTAGAGCCACCCCAAGCCTCTGTGGCCCAAGCCTCTGTGGCCCAGTGTACGTGACTGCAAGCTCATAGCGCTAATGGAATCTGGCTAGCACACTCTTATTCGCAAATTGGTTCTCGATTGCTCTTTCTCGTTGCCATCTTAGCAGATGTTCCAGCTGTGATGGTTCAGGACAGACACGCTTCGCTAGACGTTGAGGACCGGCCATGGCCCCGAGCTTTACTCTGGACCTTTGGAGCTCAGTGGAAGGAAGGAGCATGTCTTTCTGTGTTCAGCCTCCTTCCAAACGTAACTCGGAGGAGCAGAGGGAACGCGCGTGAGGCCGGGAGGGCGTGACTGCGGCCTCTGCCCTGGAGGCTTCTCTCCCCTCTTGGCCTCTTGTCCTGTCAGCGGAGGCAGGGTGACAGCCCAGGGTGGCCCCCCAGGAGCACACGGCAGCGTGCCGTTTGGGGTTTCTTAGCTTCGCTGAGCGACTTGGGCGGCTGCACGAAAAGTGAGGCAATGAAGCAACGCAGTTGCCATTGCTAGCGGCCCCTGGCGGGTGCCCCTGCATCCGCCCCAGCTTCCGGCTGACTTCAGGGCCTGTCCCTCGCTACGCTTGTCTCCCGGGCTCCTCGCTCCGGTCCCATCCCGCTCTGGTTGCTCTGTCTCCCGTCTCACTGGGAGGCAGAGACCAGGCCCCGTACCTCACATCCCTGCCCTGGGCGCCTCACTGAGTGTGGCTCCTGGGTGGCAGTGGGGGAGCCACGGTGGCAGAACCTGCAGAGCTGGTCACCTTTCCATGGAGCAGCTGCGGCTCACAGGGCCCGGTGTCCAGGAGCTCCTGCCCAGTGCCCAGGGAAGAGGAAAGGTGCAGGCCAGCTGGCCTCTGGCTCTGACGTCTGGGCCGCTGTTTCTTCCTGACGCAGGAATCAGAGGCCAGTCTGGCCCTGGTGCAAGGACTATATCCACAGCTAGTGCCCTGTGTGTGCTGTGGGCTCCTACGGGTCTGCCCTGTTCCACAGCCCCACCTCACAGGCCACCATCCTGATGTGTCCAAGCCCCACAAGGAAAATGTCCTGGTAGAGACACATTGCTGTGGGCACGGGTCAGCAGGTTGATCACCTCTCAGCTCCTCCATGCCCAGGGGCGAAGCACTAACAGGCACTTTCAGGACAGGCCATCCAGAGAGGAGGCATGGGAGGAAGGGCCCACCCCAGCCACGCCATTGGGCACCTCTGCTTCCTGCTCCAGCCTTGGCTGCTGAGGAAAGCCTGCCTCCCACAAGCCCATGAGTGCTTTTCCTGCCCTTGCTGAGCTTCAGACCTTCACAGAGCTGCACCCGGCAGTGAGAGGCCAGGCCCATGCCTCCGGTGCTCCTGTCCCTCCTCAGTGTCATGCCAGAGCACGGCCAGGGCCACAGCGCAGCTCAGGACCAGGGGTCAGAAGCCAGGCTTCATGCGGTCAGGGAGCTGCCCAGGACTGAGCACAGTTCTCTGGCCAACATCTTGTCCAGCAAGGGCCTGCAGCCCCAGCCACACAGGCTGATAGGATGACTGTGTGGGCCTGGTTCACGTGGAAACGTGTCACTGGCAACATGGGCCACACAGAGTGGACTCAGCCAGTTGAGGGCAGCCAGAAGGGCTCTTTTCCTGCGCCTGGGGGGGCCTCAGGAGAAGGCTTGGGGCTCGGGGTTTGCATGAGACTGTCTCCTGTCTGTGCTGAGACAGTGCGAGGGAGCGTCCTGCCTGTGCCTGTCTGGCCCT